GAACTTTCTAAACGCAAAATAGGAAATATCGCGTGGTAAAATCCATGCACTGCACGATTCTCAAAAATCTCTGCAACCCAGTATTTCTTGTTTTTATATTTCCTCCTTTTATTTTCTTCAATTGCAGCTATCACGGCAAATGCTGCTGCTATACGTCTTTTTTGAATTTCTGAATTTCTTGAATTTATAACATTTGCACATTCTACCATCCACTCATAATATTTCATTGACGGCGAACACATTTTTTCGAAAACTACTGCAATAAATAATAACACTGCAAGTTATGTGTATCAATTTCTCGACGCGAGTTCCAAAAATTGACGCATGGTCAATTGACGCATTGACGCTTCTTCATTGCGCGTCAGAATATCGGCGTCAACTGACGCCCATGAAAAAGCACCTTTAGATGTAAATAGACCACAATCCGTACTAAACGTAGTAATACTTCGCGTATTTTCATCAAGCTCAATTTGATTAAATGCTCCTCGAATATCTAATTTTGAGAAAAACTTGAGAAAAACGCTCCTCTTACTTTATCAAGTAGTTCTACAAATACAGGTAACGGGCTTCGTTGACGAGTTATTGCCTCGTTTACTTTACGTAAATCTAAACAAAGACGTATTTCTCCCGACTTTTTAACTATCGGTACTATTGGAGATATCCAGGGCGTCGGCCCTTTTACTTTTTCAATAATATCATCACGTAACAGTTTCTCTATCTCTTGTTTAACCAAATCACGCATTTTATAAGGCAATCTTCTTCGCGGCTGAGCAACTGGTTTCACCAAACTATTTATCGGAATTTTAAGCTGAAAATCTTTCAATTTCCCTATACCCTCGAAGAGTTTATTATCTAACTTAACGTCGCATTTAATATTCTCAATCTGATTAATCTGCAAGTGTACTCCGGCATCTAAAATACTTAACTCTTTTGCCGTTTGAACACCTAAGAGCGGTTGTCCTTCACCTCGGAATACTTTAAAAATTGCCCGTGCGATTTTATTGCCGATCTTTATCTCACAATCAAATTCACCGAAATCTCTAATCCGTCTTTTTTTCCGTATGGAAATGCGGTCTTATTAACCTTACGCGATATACACCTTATTACTTTTGACTTTAATGATTCCCATGTATTTTCGTCCATAATATTACATCGAGATCCCGAATCAACTAAAAGATCGATTTCTATTCCCCTTACAGTCGCTGATATTACCTCTCCGTGTTCTAATACATATATCTTATCTCTTAAGGCGAACGCATATTCGTCGTCGTCTCTGTCAGCGGCGTCGCCATCTAGCTGCTTCACCGTAGTTGACTTTCTTTCCTCCTTGTTGGCGCTGCTGTTCGTCTTAGCTTCCTTCTTGTCTCGCTTGTCCGAACCGTCGCCATGTTTGTCTGCTCGATCTCGATATGTTCTGCACATCGCTGCGAAATGACCCTTTTTACAGCACTTCGTACACTCCTTGTTTCTAGCCGGACACTTCTCGTCTGATTGTGCATGTCCTCGATAATCACATCTGTAGCACTTAATACCACTGGAACTGGAACTGTCTGATTTTCCTCGTGCGTTCTCCCTTTTTGTTGTAATTCGTGCCACTACGTTATTTCCTATAGCCTTTGTCTGAACCGATGCTGTCTCGAACGCCTGTGCAATTTCCATCGCCTCTTTTAACTCGATGTCACCTTTTTCTAATATACGCTTCCTCACTTCCATTGAACGACCTTTCTCAATAATTTGATCGCAAATTTCTGTGTCCATAGAAGCGAATTTGCAATACTTTGCTTGCTGACGCAACCGTGTTACAAATTGACCGACCGTTTCGTCTTCTTTCTGCGCCATATTTCTAAAAAGGTGTCGCTCGTACGTCGTGTTTAATTTTGGCCTGAAGTAATCCGTTAACACTTTCTTAGTCTTTTCGTATGGATCCTCGTTTCCTATCACCACGTCGCAGTCTGGAATAGCGTAGAATATGTCTTTTAGATCCATCCCGCCATGATGTAAAAGCATAGCTTTCTTCCTCTACGTCTCGGTTATATTTTTACTCAGCAGAAAAAGCTCGAAGCCTCTGAGCCATCTCTCCCATCTCGGATATATGCCGTGTTGATCCTCGTTCGGATTAAACGCTGCCATACTCGACTCGCCTGCCATGACGTCGTCCTTATTAGTTTTTCCTCGGTAAATCGTTTTTCCTCGTCGCCAATGTTATACTTGGGATGGCCGGGGTAACTTATTAACAACACTATACGTAATTGAATACTCCTTTTTTATTCGGACGTTCACTGCTCGCTGTCTCGTGTGTTAATGCTATGTCCGTTACTTTAGCAAAGCCATCTCACGCTTACTCGCTCACATACATTTTAGGGCTTATACATATGTAACACACGGGCACGATTTCAAATGGTGCATTGCCGAAGTTTTGCATAGGGAGAAAAATGTGAGAAAGAGAGAGATAGCGGAAATGTTTTATATCAAAAAACATAATAATACTGTTACGCTCGTGCTGTACGCCCGGGCCGTGCGCTCATGCGGGTCGCCCCGTAGCAGAAGTTGCGAATCGTCCTTAGCGACACACACATACACACACGGCTGCGTTGTTTACAATCATTGACTGTCAGATTATACTCTGGGAATCCGTCACGTTCGGACGTGTTTTCCCGAGCTTCTTATACAAACGAGTTACAATATTAAACGAGTTCCTTTTCTATAAATAACGAGCCTTGTTTTATTTGTGAGAGTGCCGGAATACGCGTCGCGCGTGAGTAAGTGCGAGAGTGAGACGTAAACGCGCGACGAGCATAACAATACGATCAATCTAAAAAAAGACACCGAGAATCTTAATCCGCTATATGACTAAATTATAAGTGCTACATAACATTTCTCTCTTTGTTTGTTTTTCTTCTGCGACCCACTCGTGTATTCTGTATTTTTAAGTAGTTCGATGCCGTCCTCTGACTCGGAATGACTGCTCTCACACGTCTCCGTTCCGGTTACCTCTTAACCCTGTGCTACATCGCATTGTTAATTCAGGATGGATCGCGGTTTCTTCATTTTAATAATTAGACAACATCGAAATCTGACAAAGTGTTAAACTGCAAGAAATTTACGTGCGACTAATATGAGATAGGTATATATTTTCCGTTCCTACGCCCTTTGTTCCTCGTTGCGATATATTATTATGTAACATGACTTTGTAGGTTTATTACTCTGGATAAGGACACAAAACGAATGTCAAAACGTCGAGGATTGAATTAATGTAATTACGACATTATACGCAATGTCAGTTTGGTCAAATAATACCGTTTATTAAATTTCACTGACGAAGAAAAGAAGTTTTTAACTTATTTTCTTCCTCGCTCCATACATACTTCCTACCTTGTACCTCTAGCTTCCTATAACCTATTTTCACTCATTTTCCTTCTGTTTTCTCTTTCCATGCCCGTTCTTTTATCCGTCTTTGCACTTCTCTGTCCTCAAAAATCAGGTCGTGATCAATGAAAATTTTCTTACTTCCCAGCTCCTTCTTCTCCTTCATGATATTATCCTTTGATTCCCAGCAGTCCATTTCAACTATTACTAACTCTCTTCCTTCTTTGCCTGTCGACCGCATCTTCTTTACTCCCGTTTTTGCACCAAACTCCCTCTCAAGAAACGTCTCCGCTGTGTCTATTAAGCTCTTGTTTTCCTCTTTATGTAATCCTCTGATCACTAGATTATTTTTCTTTTCCTTTTTTTTCTTTATATTTCTTTCTCTTTTCCTAACCATCTCCGCCACCTTTCCCACGAACTCCTCCATTTTGCCGCCGGTCGCCTCTTTCGTTGTGTTTTCACTCCTTCGTTCGATCTTCGATAGCCTCTTTTCCCTCTCTTTTCCTCTTAGCTTTCGCTAACTCACATGCCATACTATTTTCACTTCCTACATACTCCAATATGCTGGTCGAGCTCGATCTTTCTCTCATTCTTAACTCCTCCTTTGTAAGTCTTCCTTTTCCTCTTTTTTCCTTTTTTGGTGTGGCAAAAATTTCTTTACCCGTTTTCTTACTACTTAAACTATCCAAATTTGTAGCCAAATTCACATTTTTATTCCTTTTTACTACCTTCACACTCTCGCCTGCCTTTCCCTCCATCCTGTACGTCACTCGTT